AATCTCTTACTTATACTCTCTCTAAATTTTATTTTTTATTTCCGGAGTTGTTTTTTTCTGTTTGTTTTGTAGGTCTGATGAATTGGATCGTATTTACGATTCCAATGGAATAAATTATGACCATGTAATATTAGTGTTTAAGTTTTTTTTATTATATATATATATATATATATATATATATATATATATATATATATATATATATATATATAAATGCTGGTACTGGTTTGGAAAAAGCTCGGATAGCTCAACTTGCTGTAGAACAAATCGGGGTACCCGAGGAAAAATGTGGAATAAAAAAAAGAAAGAACAAAAAAAAAAAAACAAAATGAGTAAAAGACAACTACGTAAAGTACTGAATACACTAAGCAGAGCAAACCTAAGATAAGATAATCCTAAGGAGCCAGGCGAACCTACTTAGGTTTCACCTAAACTGATCTTCAATGTACTGCCTGCTTCAGATCTGTTTACATGAAACCTAGGTAGGTTTGCCTGGCTGTTAGGATTATCTTATCATATATATATATATATATATATATATATATTTATGTGTGTGTGTGTGTGTGTGTGTGTGTGTGTGTGTGTGTGTGTGTGTGTGTGTGTATAAATAAAAAGAAAGAACAGTAAGATATATAATCCGGTGTTCTTATAGATACTTTTATTTTTACAGAATAGTGCTCAATGTAAATTTAAAGAGCATTAATATTATAAATTGATTTATTTAAAATATCTGTAACCTTGGAAACGTGAATTATGATTTTAGCTGTGTCTTTAAAACCCTGTAATTTTAAAAGTTACTCCAAAATTCGCTTGAGGATGAAATGGAACTAATGTCTTTAATTTAATTCACAAAATTAAATTCGGGGCTTTTTTAGCTTCCATCTTTTAAACATGGTTAGAACTATGTAACGAAAAAAAAACATATTTTAAATAAATCAATTTATATATATATATATATATATATATATATATATATATATATATATATATATATATATATATATATATACAGGGGATGATCCCAGCGTCCGCTACCTTTGGAAAGTGCCAGAAAGCCACATCACGGGTATACCCAAGCTTTGTTAGTGAAATTGTGTAGACGGAACGGCGACCATCGTGACCGACCGAGGGGTTGTGTGTGCTGGATTCTTCAGATTTTTGATCGCGCTAGATTACTCGCTTTTCCCAGGAAACCGTTTCGTCCTATATTTGGGACTCATCAGCAGTACGCATCCACTACCGAGAATTGAAACCCTGACAGTTAGGTTATGCATGCAAGCGTCATACCAACGGTACCACTGGGCCTGCAAATCAGACTCAACATAGCGCCGCTCGCTCACATATTCCGTGGTGGAACTCAACTGAGTTCTCTCTAACCATAGGACTGTGCCTCCTGGAGCCACGATTACTATCACTATACTATCAGAAATTATTAGGAGGATTTGATAATTATAGACTAGATGAATTACTTAATTATAATTATCAAATCCTCCTAATAATTTCTATCACACACACACACACACACACACACACACACACACATATATATATATATATAAATAAAAAGAAAGGACAGTAAGATATATAATCCGGTGTTCTTATAGATATTTTTATTTTTACAAAATAGTGCTCGATATAAATTTACAGAGCATTAATATTATAAATTAATTGATTTAAAATATGGTTTTTTCCGCTACACATTTCTAACCATGTTTCAAAAATTGAAGCTAAAAGCCCCGAATTTAATTTTGTAATTAAATGAAATGGAACTAATGTCTTTAATTTAATTACAAAATTAAATTCGTGGCTTTTAGCTTCCATTTTTGAAACATGGTTAGAACTATGTAGCGGAAAAAACATATTTTAAATCAATTAATTTATAATACATATATATATATATATATATATATATATATATATATATATATATTCATTCAAAATGTTTGTTTAAATAATTTAGACATATCATGTCGATTAGTTTTTGGTAGACTTAGAAAATTTAGTAAGAAAAATACCAACATTTTGTCTCGAATAATTTTTATTTTCCAAAGTACTTTCACTCTCATCTAAGTCCATCTTCTTGGAACTTTATACTTGGAAAACTAGAACGCTGTATAGCATTAAAACAACTGAAACGATTTAAATTAACAAAAAACAAAGATTATATTCACAGACAACTTGACCCCCTGAATATGGTCTCAGATTGAAAGTACTTGGGAAAACAAAAAATTATTAGGATGAAAATTTTCATTTAGTTTCTGTTCGTTTATATCTTTATCAATTTTGATATTAAATATCCCAGATTGTGATAATCGAAGATCTGCCAACAAGGGTGAAATGTCATAATAAAACTAAGTTTATCCCTAAAAGATTAAAATCTCAACGTCCCCTCTCCTAGATGAAATAGTGTAGTCGCTTTAACGTAAACAACACTTTATTCCGATTAGATCGTAAAAAACGAAACGTGTCAGACGAAGTCCCCCCCATGTCACAGATTTTTCCTAAAATACCTAAAAATTCCTTCCCTCATATATATATATATATATATATATATATATATATATATATATGTGTGTGTGTGTGTGTGTGTGTGTGTGTGTATATATATATATATATTTATGAGTCTACGCATATCATCAGAAAATGGCATCACGTTTTTAAGTAGGTACCTCGCCAAAAGACGCGATACCTAAGAATGAAAATTAATTTTTAAAAATGAAAAGTCATACATGAAGCTTTTATTTTTGTTTCAATTTCAAGCTAATCGATTAAATTTAATACTTTGAAATAGTCAAAACGCTTTGTTGCATTTCAATAACTAATTAAAATTAAGTAAAGAAGTTTTTTAAAATTTTTTAGTCATTTTTAATCGCAATGCATTTCTCTTTATTAAAATGCCTCTCAAAAATAGGAATATTAACTGATTTAAAGTATAATAAATCTGTTTTGAAACCTTTTTTTTAATTTTAAAATACCTTAGATTAACTGTATTTTTAACTGTAGGTGTTTTGTTTTGTTGGTAGCCTAATGATAGGTCTAATGATGTTCTACGGAGATTTTATCTGTAAAACATAATTTAAGAAAATGATGTGAATGCCTTATTTTATATATAAAAATTACTCAAGAATCTGAGTTCAGGAAAAATATCCTTAATCTGAATTTAGTTTAGGAAAATATCCTGTATAATCTAATATTTTATTGAATTTTCGAAAGTTGGCTTTAAATTTACTATAGTTATCACTCTCATTTTTTGATAATATCAGTTATGTGACACGCATGTACATCTTTCGATACATGACTGACGAGGCAGATTTTTTCGCACAGTAGGTCGATATTTCTTTCTGCGCTAGACCAGTTGCTATCCAAAGCTATAAAACCTGCTATTTATCCATAGCGTATTACCAAGTAAATGAATGTAAAGGATCTGACGGGAATTCGAACTCGGCTCTCCGATTCCCCAATCCGGGCTGCTATCCATGACTCCATCGTGCCTCCTAATATCATGTATGGTGGCCCATACTTACAAAAATTGACACGTTTATGAAAAAAAAATATTCAAAATTCTTTTAATAATTTTAAGTTTGTTGATTTGTGTTAAGCTTCTTTATTTATGATAAATAAATATATTTTTTACATAATAATAATAATATAATCTAAAATATTGAAATTAATACATAATTTAAAAGTTTTAAAATTAAATAAATTTTTCTAATTAAATTTGAAAAAAATGAAAACAATTCTTGTAAAAATTCATCTTTTTCGTAAGACAATAATATGCTCAACATTTCTTATATGTAAAAGCAGTAAAAAGATTTTCTAATTAAATAATATATAATTTTATTTCATTTTTTTTATGATTTGGAGCAGATTTCCGGCAAATTGTGGTTTTGCATGACAAAAACAAATTGAAATTTAAATTCTCCAAGGAGTCCTGCTTTAAAACTAATACAAATATGAAGAGTCTGAAATTTTAATTTCTCAAAATTTCATAAAATTAAATTAGGGTTATAGATTTTTTTAAAAATTACCAAAATATTCTAATAAAAATAATTTCGAATTTGTTTGTAAATAAGTCCCGAAAATTTCATTAAAATCCAACAATTATTAGATGCGTATGTATGTATTATTTACTACTTCTGAGATGCTTATATTTTCGAAGTTTCCAGAAACTAACAACATGTCAGTACAATCTAAATCAGTTCAAGGCTAGGGTCACCATAATTCCCTGTGCATAGTACGCCTTCATCCATATTACGCACCCCTAAAATTGTGCTGAAAGTGTGAGAAAATGCTTCTACTCACGCATAATACGCACCCCTTGCTTGGTAATCAAACCCTCTAAATTGTACATCTCCAATTTCATTATGGCCAGCGTTTCCTCCTCTTATTCAAGCTGTAATTGAAGATATTTATCAAACTTTCCGATCATCACGATTCTAAAAGGAAACGGAAATACCTATATTGTGCCTACTGCGCAGACTCATTAACCTGTTTTTGTTTGATAAAATGTGCAATCTACCGGATCTCTATGTAATTTTTCACAAATATGTTTTAAACATAGAATAATATTATTCTAATTTAGTTTGATGATAATTCTTATTTTATTTTACATTTGTAATTATTGTTAGGTACATCTGATTGTATTTAACATCCTTATGGGGTCGCAATCGCCAAATGTTAGTGGCAAATTGTTGTATGTTTGTGGTAGGCAGTCATTTCACAACTGAAATCGACCTATTAAACGGAAGTTTTTTGGAGATTATTTTCTAGCTGTGCATAATACGCACCGCTAATTTTGCTTATTATTGTTTTTGTTTTTGATTTTTAGAAAGAATGCGTATTATGCATGGGGAATTGCAGTAACAGTTATCTTCCACTCCTTTACACACAAATGGCTTCCAATCGTAACTCTCTACCTTGAGTGAATCCCTCCCCCACACCCGGCTATTGTAATGGATGAACCTCGCTGTGAAAAAAAAAGAAAAGAAAAAAAGTTGAAT